ACATGATGTAACAGTACAAGTTCTCATATGTCCTGAGTCTTAATTGACCTTGGAAGGCTAGGGCCAAAATGTTGGCTTTCCTTGCAGCCCTTTTTCTCTAATTTTGGTCTGCAAACTTAGGTGGTTAACCATCCATAAGACAAGCTTATTGTTATTACCATTGGCTTGTTCTTCTTGTTAGGCTTTTATTGTCTCACATTTAATATATCATAGTTTTTAGTAGATATCCTAAATAAGGTTAAGGACATATCTTTTATTCCCAGGTAGAGAGTTTTTTAAATCAGATTCTTTATGAGAAATGTTGAATTTTATTAAATACCTATTCAGAATCTTTTAAGATTTCGTTTCCCATTAGTTAATATTATGAGTTATACTGAATACTCATGTTTCCAGAAATTATTTATTTGCTATATAATGCTAAATTCATTTTGCTGATAGTCTAGTTAGAGTTGCCCATATGGTTTGCTTTCATGGTCTAATTTGGAGATGAGAATATAAATGTAATCTGTCCTTCCAAACATTGTCTACATAAAGAAAAATCACCTTGGGTGATGTGTGAAAAAAGTGCCTAACTCTAGAATTATATCTCGTGTTCTAAATAGTCTCATTGCATGTTGAGGAAAAAAAGAGGAGCTGAACAGCTTCTTATAAGTTGTTACTGCACATTTTTGAAAGCTGAAATATGCTTCTAACACTAGATCCTTTTAATTTTGATTTTTCTGTTGGGCAGTATTAGCATATTTTATCCTTCATGATTCTTAGTGCATTTTTTAGTAGGATTTATTAAGATTTTAAATAGTTACCTAAAAAAATGCTGTCTTTTCTTTTTGAAGTTCATTGTGAAGGATTCTGTGGAAGAAAATATGCTGAAAATACAAAACACAAAAAGAGAACTTGCAGCTGGAGCTTTTGGAACTAAGAAGACAAATGCTAATGAAATGAAACAAGCTAAAATTAATGAAATAAAAACTTTAATTGATTTATAATATGTGGGATATCAGTAAGGTCCGTTTTATTAGATATGTAAATGCTGGAAATGAGAAAACAGATTTAGGGATAAGATCTAGAATGTCTTCTATGAGGAACATACTGTTTTATATTAGTAAACAGGTATTACACATAATGTCTTTTATAATATGGATGTATTTTTAATATTTCAAATAGCAATAATTTCTGTTATATATTGTGACCTAAAATAATTTTTTGAGATAAACGGTTACTTTGTTATTCAACTTCTCATAGATAACCCTATGCTGAGTTTTTTACATATATCTTCTAAGTACTCAGCTTTTTCATATTTCAAATGTCTTTTATTCTTTGAATAGTGAAGACTTTAGTATGTAGGACACATTTGGTTTTTCAACAAAGCCTGATTTGTGTTACAGTAGATTCATGTAAAGGATTTATGTGATTTTATTGGACTTTCAAACCATATTTGCATTCCAAAACCAAATCTTAAAAGACCAAAGTCTAGGCTAAAAAGTTACTTGGAATTTTTCTTTTAAACAACTTCATTGAGATTTAGTTTATATAGGTAACTTTCTTTCCCCCAGTACTAGGGATTGAACTCAGGGCCTTCACAGTGAGTTATATTATCAGTCTTGCAAAAATGATTAAATTAACCATGGTCGGCTTGAGCTTGTGATCATCTTGTCTTAGCCTCCTGGAGTGCTAGGATTATAGGCATGCTCCATCACACCTGGCTCCTGTTTCTTGCACAAGCTTGGGTTTTGAAAAAATTAGGGTCTGTGTTAGAACAGTTTTCTCTACTTTAGTCAAGTGGTACTACGTTATTTAAATGTAACTTGATATAAACACAGGATGTAAATAGTCAATAGTCTGTGGAGTAAGAAGGAACCAGTTCTACCCAATTTAATTTGAATATCTAAATTATGGAATTTGCATAGATATTTCTATAAATAGATAATTTTTATTTATGTAGCTTTTGGGGAAATAAGTCTAAATTTTTATAATTCAGAAGACTGCTGTATGTGAGAGGCGTGATATCTGGATGGAAGTTGGGCTGGATGACCTCCAAAGTCATTTCAACTTAAAGACATCTTAATCCTGAATGTAAAAATTTGTTACATGTGTTTGAAGTCAGAATTTGATTTTGTAACTTCGGCAATCCATTCCTGTATTTTTGCTGTTGTTATAAGCAAACTCATAGTAGTTGCCACAGAATTCTAGATGACTTCTGGGTCATATTTAAAAGAGAAATTTAGCAATTATGTTAACTAGTCCGTGGTTTTATTTATTTAAAGAAAGTTTTTAAATCCAAAGAGATTAATTACTATAAGAGAGGCTTCATACTTAATACAGTCTTAAGAACACTTAAAATTTTACTTATAGTGTAAGTATACTATAAGTCCACACAGGCCACTTGTGTTACAGGGCACCTATCTAAAGTATACATCAAACATGTTACCACCTAAGTCTTTTCCTCCTTGGATCCTGTCTTATTCCAAGGAAAAACATTAGCCTTCAAGAATATTCTCAAGTCTCTTTTTTTTCCTCAGAGGCAACAGGGAAAGAAGAGGGCTTATTTTCATTAACATCAAGAAAGATCTTTCTGCAGGGTGGAGAGAGAATTAACTTGGGGTTAGTCAGGAAGAATTAGGAGTTCTAAGGAAATTCTTCACCTTGTAGGTCTAGTGTTAAACAAAAAAATCAGGTTGATTAGGATCTCATTAAATGTGGCATATGGTTTCTCTGTACCAATATTCCAGTGAGATTAAGATTAAGAGAATTTTCTGAAAGAAATTTTCAAAAGAGCCTGTTTGTCTTGACAAGAGAAGCAGAACCATCCAGGTTTAACTATAAAGGCGAGTTGTCTTACCCGAATATTTGAGTTCTGCTTTTAAACATGTAAGCAGGTCATTTAAAAATGGTTTTTGTTTTTATATAGTCCTATTATGTGGTGGTAAATAGTTTAATTCATTTTAAGAAAACACAAACCACTGCGTTTATGCTGTTCTTTTATTGTATAGAATAATAGCTTTAGAAATATATTGAAAGCATTGTATTTCCCGTTGTGGTTCATTGAAGTTTGTGGTTTAAACTGGATTTTGTTTTAAATTTAAAATAAATGTTTAAAAAACTATTACTTTCCTAAGTGCCATGATTTGACTATCCTCTATTTTTTAAACTTTATCCTCGTTAAATGCAATTTTAAATTTCATTTCTATTGAGATATATTTCAGTGTTTTACCTGACTGCACATACAAAATACTGTAATAATCATATTAATGTTTTATTTTGCTCAGTTTAACTGGTTGAAACTTGTTCAGAAGTGAGTGAATAAAATTTAACGTTAATTTTAAAGGTTTTGATCTTAACAAAACCAGTGAATTTCTTCATTGGTAAGAAAAAAATTGTGCTAATACATATACAAATAGCACTCTAAACCACTGTATGTTTTGCTCTCAAAAGTATAACTAGATTGGAAATAAGGGAGAAAATATCCTGTATATCTGTAAGAACTTGCAAACCTACCCTAGGCAGTGAAACCTTCATGTTAGGCTCTGTCAAAGACATTGGCATTTTTTTCCTTTAAGTACTTTCCAAAGTTCTTCATTCTTAGCCTTCTGATGAGAGTCATAAAACACATGACAGATTTGATGTCTGACTCATAATAACTTCACCTTAAATGTTTAATACACTAAGTTGATAATTATAGTATTTGCCAAAGTTTCAGTGAGAAATTATCAGGTGGAAAGGGAATTAAGGCTAATATTCACTGTATGCATGAATCAGACTTTGATAAAGCATTGAGATGATCCCCAAAGGAAAGAAATAGATTTGGCCTGTGAGTCAGCTAGTTTGTCTTATGGCCACGGTTTGTCTGTCATACCTACCACTGTTCACAAAGGGATTTTTTAAAGGGTATGTTGATAGCCTTCACTGATGTAATTTGAGCCACTACCTTTTTATGTATTTGGTACAGGGTCTCACTATGCAGCTTGGACTCACAGTGATCCTGTTTCAGCCTCCACAAGGCTGGGATTACAGGCATGTGCCGCCACACCTGGTCTTGGTGGCCAGCAAGACAAGCCTAGGGGTGGGGCCGGTGAGGCATGTGGTGCTGGGGATTAAACCCCGGTCCCTGCTCGGTTGAGCTATCTCGCCAGCCCTGGAGCTACTTTTTTAATGCATCTAAGTAACCCTTGTCATTTTGGGCTTTCTGGAAGAGATTCAACAGTGCAGCTGTACAGTTTTGTATGGAAAAGTAGATACGCCTTAGACATCCTTGAAAGATTGGGGAAAGGAAATATTAGTGACTTTTTCTAGTTGAGCGATTTCCCAGAAACATAACTGGACAGAGCTTTATATGCATGTTATGGACTGTTCTCTATGGTAACCTTGTCATTATTTCTGATTGTAAAAATTAATGGCTTTGACTAAACTGAGAACTTCATTTTATGCCTTATAAAAATTAGGGTAAATAAGTAAAATACAAACTGATAGTGTCCTGCCCTCCATTTGATGCTTTTACATTTTTTTAAGATAAAAAATGGGGTCACTACTACTATACTTTATTTGGATTATATATTATATAGCCATAAGACTAAAGTGGCATTCTTTACCTGAAGACTAGAGCCTCAACCAGGGACTCAGTAACCAAAAGGCAGGAGCTTTGGACTGGCTAAAAATAACTAGAGGTTTCTGTAGTCACAGGACTGGGAAATGGAAACATTTAATCTTTGATAAGCTTCATACATTTGGTTTTGGCAAATTATTTTCTATCATTCCAGATAACTTTTATCTTCAGAAGTCAGTTACTATTTTATGTTTTCTTTTTTAGTTTTAGGTAAATCCTCAGGTTCTTTTTGAACTCTTACCTACCTTCCTTTGTGGCCCTTGGTTATTCTTGTCTCCAGACACTGAAATTCCATGGTATTCATTCAGCTATATGGAAAGGACCCAGGAAACCAATAAGAAATTGTCAAAATTAAAGTGACAGAAGGCTAGTTTACAAAAGCCATTGGAGCATCTGCTAAAATTAAAAGTTCTAGGGGGCGGGGGAGATGGCTCAGTGGAATAAGCGCTTCCCTGGCAAGCACAAGGGCCTGAGTTCAATCCCCGGTTCCACAAAAAAAAAGAAAAATTAATAAAATAAAATTAAAAGTTCTTGTTATTTTCTACTTTTATTCAGTAGAATTATTTCTATAACTCAGTTTCAAAGGATCATTTTGGGTCCACCATTCCTTAGCATGCCATCCCCTACAGTTTAGGATTTATGCTTCTTTCATTCTGGATAAAACACTAGAAGGAATTGGGTCTGGTACTGATTCTGACAGTTCTGGAAAATAACTGAGTATGTTCAGAGATTGTTAGTGAGCTTCATGCTTTTGATACTGCCATATGCTGACTACTTGTATAACCCCTGGGGATGTAATGTGAGGGACACTATATAGATTTGCTCTCACTTTTCTCCATGTTTCAGATCCATCACCATCACTGGAAAACATTAGATTTAAATTTCTTAGCAATTTTTAGAGCATAATTGTGTCAAGCTTTACATTTTAAAATCTGTGACATTTTATACATTATGGAAAAATCCCCTAATAGATTTTCTTTCAAGGGTGAGATGGGGAATTAAACAACCAAAGTATGGCAGTAAGTCTTTATTTTCATACAGGGTATTAACTGCAGGTAATCGTTAGAGAGCACCCTGCTCTTTTCACATATACAGAACTGAACAAAAGCATACCATGCTGCCTTACGGTGTATAGAAAACTGGTGGACATATTCAGACACAGGAAATAAAATAGGCTAACACCATTTGTTGATAATGTTATTAATCACTCAGCACTGTTATTAAAGGTTACCTTTACCTGAAGCAGAATTATCACTCTGGTAGCCCCTGGGCAATCCTAAAATGCAAGCAAGCAAGGGGCAGAAGTCATGTTCTGAAAGGAGATGGATTTGGAACCTGATTCTACACAAGTTGATACAACCATCTTCAGAGCTCAGTATTGGGTTTCTTCTACTACATACATTGGCAAACAGCATAACTGAGAATTTCTGAAACAGCTGAATAAATCGGGTTATAAAACAACACTGTCCATATAATAGAAGTACAGCTTCATAACTTCTGCCCAGTTCTCACCTGTCCTGCAAAAACCCTTCATCTGAGGAGTTTTAGCAGAGCCTGTAACTCCTGTAACAGACTTCTCGACCCAGCTCTAGATACTAAGTATCAGGAACAAGTCCCCTTGAAAGGATGTGTTCACAGGAAGATGGCAGTGCTTCTACTGGAGGTAAGTGTCAAGTTTCCGCTTGATGTTGTCAAAAGAGTCTGCTCCCATGTAATCAGCCTGGCCCTGTTCCCATCGCTCCTTCCTTTCCTCTGATGATACAAAAGGCTGTGGTGCTGCTGGGTTTTCCCCGAGGGACAGGTGTGATATGGCTCCTGAGACATGTTCCTAGAAAAAAAGGAGCATAATCAGAGACTCCTTGAGAGAGCTGAGAATCACATTTTTTAAAATGTAATAAGTTGAAGGTAAGAAAAAGCCAGGATGAATCATCATGCAAAGTAGCAAAAACAAAAGCATTACATGAAACAAACAAAAAAAGACACAAAAATACAAGGATCATATGATTTTTTTTTTCCTAACAAAATGAAGACTTATTGACTCAGTGGAAACATTGGGAGAACAAATCAGGGTTAATGTTTAAGTTCTGCATACCTTTCTACAGAAGCCACAAGAGAAAGCCAGTGTATAGACCAAGTCTGAAAGCTGCAAACAGTTCATTAGAAAGTGTAAGATGGATAGACAGAACACAAATTTCATGATAAATTCTCAGTCTGTGTGGGCTCAGAAAGGTTGAGAACTTAAACAGAATACACTTCAGATGCTACATTTCAGAGAGAACCTACCCAGAGAGCCACAACACATACACAAGTTGTCACGGTGTAAGAAGGAAAGCTAAATGGTTTTGAGGCTATGTACCCAATTGTCTGTTCAAGCTTTCATTTGGATTACCAAGTGGCATCTATTCTCGTAGCTTCTGTTAATCTGCTTAGTTTTGAACAACTTTCAATTCCCATCTTCAACTTTTCTTAGTTCATAATTCTCAGCCCTTGTGTTACAGAAAGAACAGGGTAAATGTAGCAAACAGCAAATCTACACTAAATTAAATTTGACTCATTATATATGTATAGGCAGTCACCTTCAAGTATACCAAGGAAGGACTACAATGCTAAGTGAGAAGGCTGGACATTTTAGAGGAAAAAAGGTGAATAAATAAAAATGGAAACCACTTTTAACATCATGGTGGAACAAATTTTTGGATACTTTATATGTTAAGTGTGTGTATATGTATTTAAATATATTGGAACTCCAAGGAAGTTAAGTATAGGATTATGATACAGCTGAATCAACTAAAGAAAGCACTTCCATTCCATTAGTCCTGCCTTCGTCTTCCTTTGTAACGGGAATGGTAAACACAGGCTTCTTCCTGAGTCTTCTGGTTCATAATGCGAGGGCTCTGAATTTATAGTAAACTTACCTAAGAGAAAGGCCCTTGAAATCTAGCCAAGGTTATTTGGTCTAACTTAAAATAGCTTGGCATTTAAAGTTTAACATTCCTGCCAGCTTGTACCACCAGGTGATAATGATAGGATGTCATGCATGTACCAGTGTTGGCTGAGCCACCCAGCAGCGAGACATACTGATTATGGCCCTGTCATGAGTGGGTTCTCTCCCTTCCTCTGGCATGAAAGGTGGTATACTTCTGGTCTGATATATTTTAAGCAAGGTCCATCTCAGATTTTTGGTAAGCATAACAATCTGTCAGATCTGGATTTGAGTCTCAGTTCTGCTGTTCTCTTACACAAGTAAGATATGTAACTTCTTTAAGCCTCAGTTTTTCTATAAATAGGATATTAATAGTACTTGTTACAGTAGTTGTAGGAATTAACTAAGAATAGCTAACTTTTATTAAGTGCTTACTGTATGCCAGGTACTGTTTCAACTCCTGTACAAGTGTTACTTCATGGACCATACTTAAAGTAAGAAGTACTTAAAAGTGTCTCCTTTCTCAGTTCTGTATTTTGGCACAAATGCCAGCAAGTGACATGACTAGAATCTATACCTTAGGAAAGAGAAGAATCCCTTATAATGCTACCTGGCTAGGTAATTAACTACTTTGTCCATTTATTTGTAGTTTTTGTATCTTAATGTTTAACAAGCAGTTTAATTCCTCATTTCTTCCAATTCATCCCAAAGGAAAAAACCTCAGAGGAGAAACTTAAAGTCAGAAAGCATGCTTTAAAGGTTTATGTGAAGTGTTAAAACATCATCTCCCTGCTAAAAAGAGATTTCTTTTTCAAACCTATGTAATCATATTGGTACAAGCAGGAAATAATAATTATAGAAAAGTATCATACATACTGTAATTTTCACTGAAGACATTTTTCTAAGCAGATGGCAAATATTAAATAGGTACATATAGTGTCTGGAGTTTCTATAACATTAAATAGGCCTTTTTTCCCCCTCGAGGGCAAAGTGCCCTACCACTGAGCTACATCCCAAGTCTATTTACATAGACTTAGTAAATAAGGAATAATCTCAAAATCTCTCTTTTTGTACAATAAGATAAGAATTTTAAATCACAGTGTACAGGTATATTTAAAAGTAACGAATATTTGTTGTAATATGAGATGCAAGGAAATTTGTCACAGATATATTTCAGTTCTGTGGTGATAATACTTTTCATTGTAAGACAGTCATTGTTTTCACAAAATCTTATCTCTTTGTTTAAAATATCAAATATTCTCAAACTACTGACATACCAAGTATTAAAAGATATAGCACTAACTTACATGAAAGAAAAAAGTGGAAGAGAACTTACCACATTTTTGTATGAGCAGGTTTCTTTGACAAGCCCATAATGTTGAAGCAGAGGTAAAACATTGGTGATAAAGATGTCCCACCACAGGTTGAGAAACTCTGGATGAGTCATAGTGGGATCATGGGACTCACTTTTAACAC